TGGGTCGAGGCAGTGCGTCAGTCGTGGATGCAGGGCGGCGACACGGATATCCGCGCGCTGGAGGCCGCGTACCGATTCCCGGTTTTTGGAGGCTTGTCCATCTGCATTACGGGGTTTGAGGATAGTGAGTTTTGAGCTCATCAGACACAGATCCGGTGGGGTATGGAGGCTCGTCTAACAACTTTCTGTTTTTCTCTTCAGTGTCGGTTAGGAACTACATTCAGGACACAGTCACGGCCCATGGCGCCGAGTTCCGGAAAGACCTCGTGAAAGGCACCAGCCACCTGATCGCGCGGAGCACCGAGGGGGATAAGTACAAGTTCGCGATGCAGTGGGGGATCAAGATCGTCTCGATGAAGTGGCTCACCGACAGTCTCGAGCGGGGGATGGTCCTGGAAGAGGCCCTGTACGACCTGCAATTGCCGTTGGAGCAGCATGGCGTTGGCGCCTGGCATCGAGCCTTGCCCGCGCCCAAGCCCAAGGCTGCCTCCGGGGCCGATAGTGAGAACCCGTCGAATAACCCCCGACCCCGGAAGCTGCGCCGTATCGCGAGCACGAAGCTTGGAGACCAGAACGAAGGCATCTGGGGTGATATCATTGGCATCGGGTTCGAGGCGGGCGACTTTGGCCGGTCCAAGGGGAGCCAGCAGAGCGAGACCCGGGCCTTACGGAAAGCTACCTCGGGCCTCCAGGAGGTGAAGTCGTTCGCTAGCGAGACGACTATGGCGGAGGCGCAAGAGTCCCGTCCACAGCCACCACCGGAGCCGGTCGCTAGCAAGGATGAAGGGTTTCTGCATGGCTGCTACTTTTACATACATGGGTTCTCGTCGAAACAGGTTTGTGTCTCGGGATACGGATGCCATTGGGCGAGAGATTAATACGTTTGGCAGACGAACGTGCTACGACACCATCTATCTTTCAACGGGGCACAGTTGGTGGGATCCTTGAGCGAGTTCACCCGATCAGACATCCCGAAAACCGGCCACGGTCTGTACACAATCGTTCCTTTCAAGATGTCTAAAGCCCAGGTTCCTTCTACCGATGATTTGGCATTCGAATGCGAAGTGGTGACGGATATGTGGCTGGAGAGATGCCTTGATGCGAAAACACTCGTGCCTCCAGAATCTCACGTCGCAAACACGCCCGTTCCCTCATTTCCGGTCGAAGGTAAGTCTCCTCGCTTCAAGCTTCAAAACTGTGTTCTGACGGTTCTAGGATTCTCTGGCCTTAAGGTTTGCTCAACCGGGTTCTTCCGTATCGATCTCTTGCACTTGTCCAAGCTTGTCAATCTAATCGGTAAGGGTAATTCCGGCTTCATATTAGACCAAGACTAATCTTTTAGGCGCTACATACAACGAGTACCTGACGCCCAAGGCTTCTGTGCTCGTCTGTAACGACGCCAGCCCCGTGAACCAGGACAAGCTACGGCATACTCAGGAGTGGGGAGTGCCAGCAGTCTCTGCGGACTGGCTCTGGGCCTCCATTCGCCACGAGAAAAAGCAGCCTTTCGAACGCTATATAATTCAGAAGCAACCCACCCAAAGTGGCAAGTCTCGTGAGACGCGAGCTGGCTCGCATCCGGAGCAGAACCGACCACAATCAACCACCAACCAGCCCACGAACGCCACCAGGGCAACCGCTCATCACGGGACCAGCCAGTCAAAATCCAGAATCGATGGAACAGGTCACCCCTCTCGAGCAGCCGACAGCACCAAGGCGGATGAGCTTGATTCACGGCACGAAGCACCATCCAAAGCGAAGCCAGACGACCGCTCTCGAGTCCCTACCCCGGTCAAAGAGTCGCCCATCAAGAAGAACTCAATCACCTCCACGACCTCCTCACCCTTCAAACGCAAAATCTCCGATGTCTCCACCGGCCCGACCGCGCAATCCGTCATCGACCTGGCCGTCAGCGGCCTCATGAAACAAGCCCGCACCAATTCTGCTTCTGAACCCGAGGACAGCCACGGTGACCGGCCCCGCTCCCGCGCTCGGAAACCGCTCCTCGGACGCGCGCCCTCGAGCCGCACCAACAGCGGCGGCCTCATCGCCCTCGACCAGCACCAGCACCAGCACCCACAGACGAAAGCGTTCTCGTTCTCGCGCGCTAGCTCCATCGACACCCTCAACGACGACGGCTGCGGCAGCGCCATCTTCGACTCCAACCAAAACTACTCCGCGGAAGGCGGTGGGGGCATCCTCTCCCGCGCGAACAGCACCGCCGCCCGCTTCGACTACCTGGACATGGAGGGCGGCAAGACCGCCAGCAATTCGATGGTCATGTCCGAGTACGAGCATGAGTATGCGGGCGAGGAGGACGAGAACGAGCCGCCGGCGATGACGCAGCTGGACTACGAGGACCCGGACGCCGTGGCCATGCGCGAGCAGTTCTTGCATCAGGCGGGGAAAACCGTGGCGAAGAAGAATGCCGGTAAGGCTGCCGGTCTCGGGGATCAGCAGCTGGTGCCGGAGTTCCGGGAGCTGGAGAATGTGGGGTGGGGTGGAGGGCGGAGGACGAGGCAAGGGCAGAAGGCTGTTGGGGAGGGATTTTGAGCTTGTTCTGGTATTTGAATCGGTTCTTCCCCTACTACCCTGCGGTTGGGGGTTGGGGGTAGGTGTTTGACTTGGATCCTTCTAGGGTTGAATATGTTGTTCATGATATGCATGCATGGCGCGGCGTCCTTTCTCATACATGCTGAATACATTGTGCTTTTGGTTCCTTACTCGTGCCTATACTCATCAGAATACTAGGGAGCAGATCTAGCGATAGCGGTCGTGCGCTCGTCTCATTATGTCCATCCCTGTTCTAAGACCGATCGGGCAGGGTCGTGCCGTCCCGTCGCCTTCGATCTTCCTGCTGCGTGTTGTTAGAAGCTAACTATACCAATATCATTTGACCGGACCTGGAAGTGGAATCATATCAGCACATGTTAATCATGCCTAAGAATGGATCATGCTGATATTGGTCAGTGGCTGGCAGCCTCGTCATACTGTCTTAGACTACGCCTCCTCACTACTCCGTACTCCTCATCTCTGTCTATTCTCTATATTCTTTCTTTGAATACAATCATCTGTACAGCAAGGCTGATATGATCAGCGTAGGCTATATTTTTTCTTTTTCGCTTCCCATCTTTGCTATCAGGTACGCAACTTCGAAGCAATAAGCTGTATACTGCTAGAGTAGGTTTGGTCTGATAGATAGATAGCGCTGAGATCTAATTCGGGAACAGGCGTCTAATTTCTTGTTATTATTATCCCATGATCATGCCTACATCAAGCTCTGTTGATGATTTACGTACTGGCTTATCATCGCGGTGCATAATATCATTATCCGAGCCAGCTTCGTATTTACAGTTGGCCCATTACGGTATATCTCGAATTAAGAATACCTAAAATAGCCCTATAACTGGGTAAGAACGAACCCCCCAAGTCACAGCAAGACAAGACCCAGGAAAGACAAAACAGCAAGGTAGCAGACAGAGAAGGAGGAACAAAGATACTGTTTGTTGATCACGAAACTCCCTCCCGGCCCTTATGCTAAAGCCCAAGCACCTGAAAACTCCCTCCGACCAATATCTTCGGTTCTTACTCAACAGAGACGTGCATTACATACCCATCCATTACACCGAGAACCTTTACCATCTCAAGATGACGCTTTCACCTGCTCCTTCCACCGCTGCTCCACCACATCCAAACCAACCCACTTCTTCATTGTCCCATCGAAGAACCCCAGCGGCAGGAGCCCCGCGATCCGGGCAATCATCGCGAGCTTGCCGCGCCAGATCCAATACGGTGGACTGCGCTTACTGAGTTCGCGAACCACCTGCTTCGCCCACGCCGCGGCGGGGGTATCATTCTCGGGATCGGTATTGGTCAAGGCGCGCTCCACGGTCTCCTTGGCGACATTGTACAGGGAAGAAGTGGGCAAGGTCGGATGCGGCGCCTTATCATGGAAGGTGGACTGCACGGCGCCGGTGACGAGGTTGATCACCTTGATGTCGAAGGGCTCGAGCTCCAGCCGCAGGGTCTCGGTGAAGCTGGAGGCGGCGGCCTTGGAGGCGTTGTAGGCCCCCGCGAAGGGGCCGGTGGCGCCGATGGTCCCGGAGATGGAGGTGTGGTTGACGAGCAAGGTCGGACCTCGGCCGGGGCCACTGGTCCGGGCCGACTCCAGGAGTAAAGGGAGGAAGGCCTGGGCGACGCTGATCAGCGACCAGACGTTGAGCTCGAAGAGGTCCCGCGCGATCGGAATCTCGATGTCCATGACGGGCATCGAGTACCCGCCGCCCGCGTTGTTAATCAGCGCGTTAAGCGACCCGTCCGTCAGCTTCTGGACGCGGGCGACGCAGGCGCGGATCGACTCGTCCGACAAAGTGTCCAGCAGCACGGTCTCGATGCCCGCTTTCTCGGCCTCCTTGAGCTTCGCGGGGTTGCGGGCCGTGGCGAACACGCGCCAGCCTTCTTGGTGGAATCGGAGCGCGAGGGCGGATCCGAGACTGCCGTCGGAGCAGCCGGTGATTAGGACACTGCGCTTGGATGACATTTCTCGTGGTGCTTGTGTGCTGGATGGTGTGAAGTCAAGGTGAAGTGGTCGCCAACCTGCTTCTTGCGAGAGCTCGGGATCTCAGGGCGGCAGACGACGGGGGCGATTAAGTAAGGGAACAAGAGTCAGTTTGCTGGAGCTGATCCCTGCTCCCCTTCGATATACGAGACTATTGCATCCATGATGCGACAAAGAATGAACATCGTGTTGCTGGCTGGATTCTCTGCAAAACGCTTGTCCGTGGTTGTTAATACAGGAAGGAACAATAGTAAGGATTAGTAGGGACAATACAAGCTCCCTGACTCCCTGAGTCTCTGCCAAGCAAGGGAAACGAGATCAACCCACGACAACAAAGACCCCAACACGAGTACAGTACATTGCAGCCTCGTCCAAATTCTGGCACCTCCCGTTGTATCGATCCAACCACCGAGGCGGGCTGTGGTGAGCAGCAGCCTGACTACTAAGTCTGCAGGGCCGTCAACCTCTTCTGAAGCCGTGCGGACCGTCTCAACACTGCTACTCGACCCTCACCACGACGACGACGGCGAGGAGTCGGAACCCGGAAGACCCGCCCAATCGGGGCGTCAAACCTCCGCGCCATCTCCACCACCTCTTCCCCTTCGTGTCCAAACCGCCGCCGCCGGACAGCATGCGGACACGTCCGAAAGTGTTGCCGCAGATCGGAGACCCGATATGCGCGCTCGACCGCTTCGTGGCCCCGCGATCTGGCCCCGGGGCCCCATGCATAGTACTGCTCCCAGGTTTGAGGGTCCCGGCGGCGTTTCGGGCGAGATCGCTCCCAGAACTCGGTACAACCCAGGCAGTAGGTCCCGGACTCGGCCGCGCGGGTGTGCGGGTCCCAGTAGGGGAATGCCACCGTGGACGCCAGCCGGGAGTTGAAGGTCGAGTGATAATAGCTCTGGTACGTGGAGGCCCCGCGCGTCGGTGGGGGGCTGCCGCGCTGCTTGTGCAGGGCTTCGGCCTGCGTGATGTCGATGAGCATCCGCTCCGACATCGGATACTTGCCCAGCAGGTCAAACGCGGTGTCGATGACCGGGAGATGGCACCAGTCCTCGAGGGGCAGCCGGTAGAACTGGAGGACGTTCTCCAGGGAGGCGACGCGGTATCGACGGTGCCACAGGACGCACGGAAAACACACCCGGGAGAGGGTCGGAAGGTAGAGGTAGGGGCCGAAGTTGGCGCATGTCCGGCACCGCGGGTGGCAGAATTCGTGATACAGCTGTTGAATCGAGAACTAGTGCGTGCATTGGGCCAGGTCCAGTGCTTGGAGGGTCTCGGCTGCATGAGTTCGGAGGAGGCGATATTCAAAGAGAGCCGCGTCAACTTGTTGGTGGATCGTTGTGCTGACTAGCCGTAAGGTGCCAAGGGCGATCATGTCGAGGTTCAGGAAGATCATGCCAACAATCTCCAGCGGTAATGAGTTCCACATAGGCTGTGGATGTTGCTGCAGCGGCGGCGGCGGCGGCGGCGGGCAGTGCCGTCGTTGCGGCTTTTGACATCGGGCTCGGTAAAGCTTCACGGCGCTCCTAAAACGCTTTCGTGGCGCGGAGTGAATGTCGAGAAAATTCCGACTGGGCCGATCAAGGCGGTATGCCAGTCCGGATGCCATTGTATAATTATAGTTCTTGGGGAGTAAGAGTAGCGTCGAGTCCTCATGGCGCCATCATGGTTTTTATATAGTCACAAGCAAGATCGTAATGATACTACAGTGAGATCATCATCTGGGGGGAGGATCACGATTCCCCGGGATCATCGACCGACAATGGCCTTCCATCAGCATCATTATTTCGGTTGATGACGTCTGGTGGACTTAGTGGTTTACATCGTACTAAGGGCGTGGGCAAGCTTGATTGAGCAAGATCCCTACGATGCCTATATAGGAGCCTGTAATTGTTCCGTTCAGCTCTCAATCCCTCCTTCGTGATTCTCTCAGACACAAAAAATTCACCATATCCCCTTCCGCCCCAATGGGAAAGTTATCTAACCTCCCCAGCCTCCGAGGCCGTGTTCCGGCCCTCCAGCGCCGCCCTCAGCAACCGAATGATCTCGTCAAGCTGCGCGCTCTGGCGCTTGTTCACCTGGACCAGCTCCCGCAGCTGACGCAACGACTCCTCGTCCAGGCGCAGCTGGGCCTTCTGGATCTTGACCATGGTCTTGAGGAGACTGACTCTAGCCTCCTCCGATGAGGATGGTTCTGGCAGTGATCGGGTGCAGTCGCGTAAGACGAGATACGTGAGGCGCAGGATCTCGATTTCGGGGTGGAAGATGCCGAGCCAGATGATCACCGTTTCTAGTTTGCTCTGAGTTGGGGTGGATGTACTAGTCTAGAGAACGAGTTTTGGGGTTAGTGAGCGGAAGAGGAGAGGGAAACCCAAAGAGAGGGAAAGGAGATGCTTGATCTAACTACCCTGTTCAGCTTCTCTGTGATGGGAGACTGGCGGATCTTCTTCCTTAGAGTCTGGCTGCACATGCCCAAGTGGATGGCATCTGTATTTCCCAAGAAACTCTTGACGCAGAGCAGAAGCTCCGCCGGGAGGAGCTCGAACCTTAAGAGCATCGATTCTGGGGGATTGCTGATACCGCTATTGATGCTTTCGGGGACCCCGCGACTGTCGACGTTCTTCGTGGTATGCTGAGCTGCGCACTCTACTTGCTCATCGATCATATTGGTGTCCACGCTCATGGCCGGTGTTTCAGGCCCTGATTCTAATGTTGTTGACCCTGTCGACTGCTTGTGACGACCGAAGAAAGGTGGAAAGGCGTGGTTGGATGGTGGAAGGTGCATGCGTAGTGGGAGGAGCGGAAACTGCGCAGACAATTCAGGCTGACTGACTCCCCACGCGGGAATGACAACATGTGTCTATGGGGGTTGCTCTCCGATGAACTCACTTTTGGTGGCTGTTTACGGAACATAGCCCCGGTTGCTGCTTCGAACATTTTTTTTCTGTATTTGTCACGAAAACTGGCTATCATGCCTGTCGACCTACCAAGGTAGATGGAACTCAGATTCATAAGAATCGAGAGTCAGCTTTTGACTTTTGATCATGGTTAAGGAAACACAGCCGGCTTTCTTGAGCTGATCCTTGATCCCCTCATATGGAAAGACTATTGGCATACGACAAAGAATAAACATTGTGCTTGATAGCTGGATTTCCCGTGCAGCGCTTGTCGAATAGTTATTAACCTAGGAAATCTATCAAGAACCAGGAGGATATCACAATACCTAGCTAGATATTATTACTGAGTAACAGATTATTTTATCATTACAAGGATCTTAATAGAAGTAGTAGCCAGCGCTGGCTAAGACAATATCGTCAGCATTTTTTTTATATTGAAATCGACAAGACAGAGCCACGTAAGTTAGGCACGGTACCGTGATTTGTCTGAGGGTGTCGGCGGCGCTGAGGCCCCGATAACCAGGCTGCTCACCGCCCGCCACGGCCCATGTTGATAGTTCCGCTCGGATAGCCTCACGTAGCTGAGTTCATCACTTATCCACGTTCCCGACCAGCCCGCAAGTAGTCTTTCTTAACGCACGTCCACCCCATTTCATCGCCCTTGTCCACCTGCATCCATACCGGAAACCTCACAGCATTATGAAGGGCTTGAAAGACTGGCTTTCTCGGCCACTTCAACTCTTCTTACGCAGCCGCCCACACGAAAAGCGACTTTCTGACCTGGAACTGTTACCGCTTGAGCTTTTACTCCATGTCACACGATTCTTGGCAATAACCGACATCATCTGCTTAGGTATATGCAGCCGAACGCTACATGGCTTTACGACAAGTCTCTGCGACCTCAACCCAGTGCGGTGCAACATGTCGATAGCTCTTTCTGCCCTCAACAGACTAGTCCGAGACCTCCCTCGGATGTTCTGCTGCCACTTTCGATCATTCTGGGCCTCGGGGAGGGCTTGATCCAGCGATGGCGAGCTCCGGGAAGGTGCGTCGGTTGTTTTGTGAAGGCTCTGTTCAAGAGAGTGACCCTACCCGGCGAAACAAATCATACTTGGTTGGGAAGCGATACCGTCGCGCAATGTGCAAGAGTGGATGGGATTTCTTGTACTATACTACTCCTTCCATTGCTAGTTGTGGACCAAGAACTTGAAGGCGAGACTTGTTGCTGTCAATGAGTTCTACCAGTAGCCCTCCAGTAGCACTCCGGTAGTACTTCGGTGGTTACCGAAACTCGCCCCTGCCACTCGGATGACCAACCACCAAGTCGGGAAGGAATCTATACAGGTTACCCAGAATGGAAGGAACTGACCCAGGTCGGAGTTCAGCGACTATCTCAGCTCCTCCCCGCTCTTCTCGATTTCTTCTTTTCCTCCTCTTCTCTCTTCACCGTACTCCCCACCGTTATTAGATCTGCATATCGTTGGCTAGCCACGTTTACTTCATATTTTTGAAAGGAAATGTAGATGCATAGGTAGTACTGTCCTAGATATTACTTTTGTTTTCCATTTGGCAAGTAACGTCGCGCGGATATTGAGCAATGCCACCGGGGGCGATGTAGACTGCCGCCCTGAAAATCTTCAACGGCAACGATGGTGACGAGGCCCTGCATAAGAGGGGGAGGTTGAGCAGCAGCACAAATCGCGCAGCAGAATCCAGAGCATCGTGGCCGGATGATTCTCCAGACGTGTCTGAATGAACTTCGAGATCCCCGGGCCGCAGAGGTAAGCATATGTATCTCGTATACGCATGCTCGTATACGCATCAATGCGAGAGCCATTTTAAATCTTACAGAGGCGCTTCATTGATCGCAAGCTTCCCTCTGCCCTAAAGAGCTTACTAGGTTACACCACTCCCTGGCCTCCAAATCCCATCCTACTCCGGGCGCCTGCCCTCGGAAAGCTTCCCCTTGAAGGCTTTTCTATAACCACCCCAGAGGGAGGTTCTAGTCACGTGATTGATACAGCCCTATCCTGTGTTGGGATATTTGGGAATATTGAGCGGCCGAAGGTATTATTGTTAGAGGTATTCTTATTAGAGCTTACCTATTGTTGTCCCTGTTTGCTAAGGTTGTTGAGGTTTCTGTGTAGGTTTGCTGATTATTCTGTCGGCATATTTCACACCTGCCGATGGCCGCAATGGTCCTCCGTAGTATACCCTAGCGAGCTTTGCGCAATCATGCTCAAGAGTTTCTTCAAATGGGCCCTTCTTCAACGTGAGTGAAACCTGGGTAGTAGGATGAGCTCATTGCTGAACACCGATACTGACATCTCTTGAAGATAAGTTTCCCAACATAAGGAGTTAATCCTGTCCCGAAGCTTGGACATTGCTCAACTCCCCAACGAAAAGGATCGGGTCGCTACCTGATCCTTGTTCTACTTGTTCTGCAAATGCTTATCTGAAACATAGAGGAAAGAAGGACAGGCCGTATGCTGACTGGTCATAGTTCCTAGAGCCTGGACGTTGATCAATTTCAGACCACAAAAAGCGACTTGAGCCCTACGGATCTGCCCATACCCGACTCCATGAGAGTATTGTCCGATTGTCGATCGACGAGCCAATATTTATGGAATCAAATGTCTTATTGCGTTGAAGAAAGTGCGTTTGCATTGACTTATCACAAAACAGACAGCCGGGGACATGTGCAACACTCTGATCGTTCTCTCCATTCCTTCAATACAGTCATTCCCGTGTCAACTCGCAATTTGTTTCCACTCTGCCAAGTAAAGCTGAGTATTCCAGGCCTTCTCAGAGTATGCACAGGGAATGTATTCGTTAGACGGGTGGTGATCGTAGGACCGACGCCCTTGGCTCCCCTCAGTAAACAGAGGGAATGCGTTCGCTGGAAAAATGGTGGTTGTAGACTGCTTACTGAGGAGAGCCAAGGGCGGGGGCGTAGAAGGTGGAAGATAGGAGGTGGATTCATCTAAAAAGTGGCAGTTGTAGGGCGGTATTTGTAGGGTCTACGCCCTTGGCTCTCCCCAGTGAGAAGTGTCGGGAATGTTTTGTTTGGAGGGTGGTGGTCGTAAGGCTGCTCACTGAGGAGAGCCAAGGGCGTGGGGCGGGCACCGGTGTGCTTCTTTTTGGGAAAGCCGTCGCCATGAACAAGGCTGATGCTCGCAGAAACGGTCCGGGTCCTGATCAAGCAGCGAGTGCCGCCTTCTTCGAGTTGGATTCGGAGTTCTCACGCAGCGCAGTCAAGATGAAGTTTGATGGACAATTTGGAATATGACTCGTAACAGTTGCTGAGGGGAAGTACAACTCATCGAGAAGGCGTTTGTTGATGGTGGAGGAAGGAGTAAGCATGCGAGGTGAGGAAGGAGGGAGGAAGGAGGAGGAAGGAAGGGAAAGAGGAAGAGAAGAATGGAGAGAGGGAGGGAAAGAGGCCATCTACAGTGGGCCGGCTACTCGTGCCGCCGCCTTCGCAGAATCCATCTCACTGCCGCCTGTGATCGCTCGCATATTTTCCCTGAAAGTGGACTTTATTACCTTGAGTATCTTACGGTTTGTCCGAGACACCATTGAACGACAGGTTGGTTGACTTCTCTCTCGTCGAATATAGCCTTACGTACTTGCTCGGACTCAATGTACGTACTACTTCTCGATTCAGCAGCTTTATCGCGAGTTCTGCGATCGCCACCTCTGGTGCCGGATCTGCTTACACTTTGTATCACTGCTTTATGTTCCGATCCTCTCCCTATTGTGTCTTCAGTGCGTTATGAGGCACGGCCTATACCGATTCGCGCCGATTGGCATTCTCGTCAGTTCGTACCATATTCCGGTCATCCATTTCTTCATGAATTTGTTCGACAACTACAGACTGGGACCCGCACACCCGTATTATGGAGTTCAGGGTCTACTGCTACGGGTGTGCAGAGCGAGGGAGGGTAGGGACTCAAAAGCGGGACGAGAAATGATAAGTGGTAAGGCTTTCATCTTGCTCACAATAAATCACCACACCCTAGAACGGAAACACAAGCACAGCCATCGCCTAGGGCGGGAACCCTACCAGCCATCTCTCTTAGCCACCGAAATTGGAGAGTGGGAGCAATTGTAAAGGAGAGTCGAAAGGGATAAAAGAAAGAAAATGCGATCTAAAGAGAGAGAGAGTCGCCCCAAGAGAAATTCAGGTAGGCATTGAAATCCAGGTGGAACCGCAGAAGGAACACTCTGCCTAGCTTGGATACCAGTGAACCAAGAGCCCTGGGTAATCAACTTAAAGATAAGTTCAAGCGATCAGCATCAGGAGACTTGAAGCGAGATTCTCTTAAAGCAGCCGGCAATGAGTTCTTGATTCTGAGCCAGCCCAAGACCACATCCGAGCCCAACAATCTCAGAGATCTCTTGTACTAATCCAGATAGATTAAACTTCTAGCACTCGCTTTGAAGCATGAATTGGTAGTAGCTCTGTAACGAAAGACTAGAATGTGCCTGATTCGTTCATACAGATGGAACCTTCCATTCTGGTTTGCGATATCTTCACCGTAGTGGACGTGCCAAAGTCTTCTTCTCTCCAGCATACCTATAACCATGAGCATAGAACAAAATAGTCAGACCTGGGGTCTTGCGTAAATGCAGGAGTGTCCCTGCAGTATCAAATTGTCCTGGGTATGTAAATGAACAAACAGTCTTGCTTAAGAATCAAATGACCAGGACGACACAAGCACAGATGAGCAGATGTTGGCTGACGGCCGAGATGGTTTGTTGATTTGCATTGCCACTGACAATG